GCGTGTGCTATCACTGCCTAACTAGTGGCTTGTCTGTTCTCTGACCCCAGGTAAGTTTATTAAGGTACACAATATTTTGGGGAACACAATACCACCACAACCCCCATTTTAGCTTTTATATAATCTGAGCAGGTTTCACAGTCTTTGGCAGCTTCCATCTCAGGGCTGATGATAAAACAGCATTTTTGTGAGAGTTACATGAAATAATAGGTACAAAATCAATGTTTCCTTGCATGTTTGCAGCATTTATTTATTGTGACACTTTGTAGGTTATTTGCCCCATGCAGAGTCAGAGCACATAATTTTTTAACAAACTATACTTAGAGATTTGGTTTCTAATTTGTTACTGGTTCAGATGTTCTGTCATTTCTTCATTCTGGAATTTACTGGAAACAGCATTTTATAGTCTATGTGTTTGTCCTGTTCAGCAGCTTTCGCCTCTACAAAAGCCTCCTTTTCTGCAGTGTTGGGTTAAATGTGTACTTTGAAACAGTAGTTGTTGTAGACTATTATTTTAACCGGGCAAAGATGTGTTACATTTGTTTATGCTGCAGAATATTACTTTAACTGAGTGAGGATGTGTTACTTTTGTTTATGCTGCATTTGTTTCTCTTTGCCTGCCTAAGGCAGCTGATTGGTTTAATGAAGAGCCGAGCGACCAATAGCTAGGCAGAGAAAGGATAGGCAGGGCTGTCAGAGAGAATAAATAGGAGGAGGAATCTAGGCTGGGAAGAGAAGGAAGGAACGAGAAAAAGAAGGAGAAGGAGAGGAGGAGGAGAGAAGGAGGACCACCCCTGGGGGAAGAAGCCAGACCTAGAGAAGCAGTCAAAGTAAGATATATAGAAGGAAGGTAAACAGCCCCGAGGCAAGGGTAGATAAAGGAGAAACAGGTTAAGTTAAAAGGGCTAGTCAGAAAAGAGCTAAGCTGAGGTCCAGCATTCATAACTATTGATAAGTCTCTGTGTCATGATCTGGGAGTTGGTTGGTGGCTCCCTAAAGAAAAAGCCTGGTACAAGTGGTCATTTTCTCTTTTATGCAAGTTCCGGCTTCATCTAAGTCTTCGTTCTAAGATACACCCTCTCATTCTCTGGAGAGCTTGGGCTTTGTTTTTACCCTGTGCCGTGTTACTAGGTTTTGCAAAAACTACTTACTCATAGGCAGCAGAAATAGCTAATTGATTTATGCCCTCAAGTCAGTTACTATCCCATTGCTGTGTTTGGCGCTTACCTGTGGTTATGTGATGGTTCACTTACTTCTCAGATAGATGGGTAATTGGTTCTGATTTTATAAAAGGAAAACTAGGATCTGTGCTCTCAGTAATTTCAGACCCCCCTCTCCCACACCACTGTGTGCGTTCAGTATTGATTGTGGCTGTTATTAACTAAGGTACATACTGCTGTAGTCAAACTAGGAAATGTTTTAGCTCTAAGTTAGGGTATCTTTTATAACTTTAAAAATATTATTGCTTGTGTGTGTGTGTGTGTGTGTGTGTGTGTGTGTGTGTGTGTGTGTGTGTTTGAGAAGGTTGGGGGGTATCTGATCTCCTTGAGCTGGAGTT